GCATTTCTCATATTATGTGAAAAAATAATTAGTGGTAATGTTTTAACCGTCATAGATAAAAGAGGGACCTAGTTCTCTTGATGGCAGTCGCACAATTGGTTCATTTATCCAGCGAGCTATCAACCGCTTACAAACAACACTTGGCTTAAGAAAAGGAACAGAAAAAGAGGAAGTCAAAATTAAGAGCACGCCCTCTAGTGTAGTTGCCTCTTCGAAAACCGAAGTCGTCGCTGACACAAGTTTTTCTGAGATACTAACCCGGTTCGAAAGTGATAGTCTTGAGGGAAGGTTCATTATGAAGCTTGAAAGAAGATTTGCTAACCTTGAAAACTTGATACCTCAGTGCCACACACGTCATGAAGAAGATGCAATATTCAAGCAGAAGTTGCAGGAGAAAATCCACCAGCTTGAATCGCAACTAGAGGAAGAAGAAGTTTTCAAACAAAAATTGCAGAAGGAGATTGATCAGCTTGCATCACAACTACAAGAAAGGGATCATTACAGACAGAACGATCAGGAGACCACTAAGCAAGCTGCAAAAATGGCCCAACTTCGGAAGACGTCGGAAAACGAAAAAGAGGCGGTGCACCAAGACCATTTGCGTGAGCATGCGCAGTTGAAAGAAGTAGATAGCGGTGGCGGGAAAACGGAGAAGAAGGTGGCCAAGGATGGTTATTCACATTTGAAAGAATCGTGTTGTAGTAAGGAGATGGTTGAGGTAACTGCTGCCGAGCTCCAGTCACAGCTGGTAAAAGAAGTGCATCGTCTAAAAGAGAGCATAGGGAAAGAATTACAGGACACAAAGAGGAAAACTGATAGACATCTTGAGACAATAGAGAGGAAGGTAGGCGAGCACGCTTTACAGTTGGGTGAGCTGAATTTTCGTCAAGAGGAGAGAGAGAAGACAATGGCGCAGCTCCATTCAAAAGTGAACGAAAAGGATCATCAAAAGGAGAACAAAGAGCAAGAAATACAGGACGCAAAGGAACTGTTAAAAGAAATTGATAAACGTGTTGAGGGAAACGAGAAGAAGGTGGCCGAATACGCTTTACAGTTGGATAAGATGAGTTCTCGTATGGAGGAGATAGAGAAAACGAATGCCCAGTTTCATTCACAGATGGTAAAAGAAACGAATCATCAACTGGAGAAGATGGAGAAGGAAATACGGGATTTAAAAGAGCTGATGAAAGGAATTTGTCAACGCACCGAGAAAGTGGAAAAGAAACAGGCCGACCAAGGTTCCCACCTGGAAGACATGGATTCTCGCGTAGAGCGGATGAAGACGGCAATTGATCAGTTCCATTTACAGTTGGAAGAATTGCGAAGTTTCCTGGAGGAAAAAATGAGGAATGAAATGCGAGATGTAGTAGATGAAGTCGAGAACCAACGCGTATTCCTCTCCACCCATGAAGAGAATATGGCCCTTCTTCGCCGTGCTCTTGGTAACCTTAATCTAATGTTTCAGCGTGATGTCAGCACTTTGAATAGGCGAGTTGATACCTTACTCGTAAGTAATGGTCCAGTTGTACCCAATGGGGTTGGATAAGTCCTTCTCGTTTAATGGCTTATTGACGGTTAGTATACCTTCCCGGTGAATACGCGTGAACATTACACAATTCTGCTCAAAACTCTAGAATTTTGCTCGGTAGTTAAAGAAAGCCTGAAATTTACCTCAATAAGACTGAAAAATTTTCACAGGATATGTTTCAGGAAATATTAGTCACATTTGCTTTGTATTGGACTTTCAATTTTTCGTATAGCTGTCATGTATAACATCGATATCACATATAATGATTTTCCGTTACTCTGCGTTAGTCACGCTCGAAAATTTCTCATTCTGTGAGTTAATCTAAGCCAAGTACAGTATGCTTGTGATCTTTCACCTTTGTGAACTCTTGTCTCCATTATAGTGAATGGTGCTGTTCTGTTGGTAGAGTGCACCAATCGAAGGTTGGCACGCATACGTTCTTTGTTTGGCAACGAGCATGTTTAATTGCGGTTGTTGGCGCAGTGCTTTTTGTGTGTACATCAGCTGGCCAAAACTTTCCTAGAGTGAATATATACTTGCATTCTAAGTAAAAAACGACAAGGAAATTTTTTCCTTTTTTTTCCAGTTTTTTTTTGAGAGTGACTCACTGATTAGTTGCCCAAAATATGGATAGGGCACAGACTGCTCTTCAGCTAAAAACATCTGCAATAATATTTTGTACTCTTTTTGATTTTGTTAGTATAGCCAGGCTAAGCCTGAACAAAGTAGTGATTTAAACAATGAGTAGCACTGGAAAAGTCAACTTTTGGCTGGAAAAAGCTGCAATATATTTGATGAGATTGCTCTGTCTTATGTCAGAGTCACAATCAGGCTAAGCCTGCGTGAAATGGCGTTTTTTAACCCTTCAACTCCCAGATCAAATTTTTCATTCTCCTTACTGTCAACCATACAATTCCTATAATGTTAGTTCCGAGAATTTAGTATTGGATCAACTGATTATCCCCAATTTGATATTTTTCTTTATTCTTATCACTTAGCTGGTTGATATTGTATTGATATTGTAAGGAGAAATTCTGTCTTGGTCACTCATGGGAGTTAAAGGGTTAACAGTTATTAGAATAAGATAAGCTAAATGACCGAAAGTATTTGTAACAACAGAGAACTTCACAATAAAGTAGCCAAAGTAATCTAGGATTTCAATATAGTTTTGATTTCCTTTGCCCTGTGATTGGTCAAGAGAACACACAACTCTCTCAACCTCTCTCAATACCAAAAAAAAAAAAGAACATGTACGATTTAGACGCTTTTGTTTTCCCGCCTTTTGGATAGCTTGCGTGTTTCAACTGAGTTTTCATTGGCTAAAAGTCATATTTTTCTTGGTTATGATTGGCTTCCATGATTACTTTGGGTTTGCATTGGTTTCTCAACACTAAATCGATATCTCTTTATTGTTATAAGGTACTTTTTTAAGTTAAAGTAGCCATGCGTGTAGTTTTTTGTCAGCATAGAACAACAAGACTGAGCCAAGCCTGATGAAATATTGTTTAAAACACTCACTAGAATTATAAATATTAGTCGAACTTCACAGAAAGAAAAAAAAAGAAAAAGTAACACAAATACTTTCAAGAGCTGATGTTATTTTTTACGTAGTTTTTTTTTCCTTTTTGTATTTCTGGTATATAAAACCAGGCAAATATGCTGATTGAAATAATGTATTAGACTTTTGATGATATTCCTATAAGTTCTATGATTAACGGTAAATTTGGGTAAGGATAGCATAATGTATTCTCTTTTAGCCTTTGTAGAGTGCAACTAGACTTAATAGTGTCTCGCACCATGGTTATAATCAATAGTGGCAAGTAGAATATGTTAGAATATGTTTCATTGTCCACCAGGCCAGCTAATTTAAAGTTTGTATGGTACTCTCTTTTCATTTGAAAATTAAATTAAGGTCTCGCGGTTATGATATTATTAGAATGGCGAGGAAACTAGTTAGCTGGATTGATTAATGGGATTTAAAGTGTAACCTAGAATTTTTCAAGTAATTTATTCAGCAAGCTAGATATTTTTTTTGAATCCTGACCAAATAGACCTAATAAAGTGTATTGAACATTTGAAGTACTTCGAGTTTGTTGTTATCTTGAAGGGTTTAACATCTCGTTTTTAACAAGCACACGCGGAGATTGTAGAAACTGAGGAGCATGGTAAATTTGAAAAACCATAGTTTTAAACAATTTATTTATTTTAGTGCTCCTTTAAGAATTTTTTCAAAATTTTTTTTAAAGATTCCCTGTTGGACGTCAGGAACGTTACTTTTGAACCAGGGATTTACTGGCTTGGCTCGGGTCATAGGCATAAATTCTTGGTTGGAGAATTTGCCCCTGCAACTGCGAAAAAAAAACCTTTTCTGATAAGGGGGCTGGCTGCCCTGATTTATTGGACATTGAATCAAATTTCACTTTATATAGGGAGAGTTTAACATAACTCGCGGCGCTTTTCTCGTTCTCTTGCGCATATGTTTCATCGAAATAGCGCCATCAGATCTACATACGTATAATTACAAAGAAGTTTCCTAACTAGCCTACATCCCCTTCCCCTACTCCTGTCGTATCTCATTCCGGTTCTCGTGCCATATACATGAGAACGGGAGCTTTTAGCACAATTAATGTTAATTGTTAATTAATGAAGATAGCATTTGTTAATGCTTGTCAGAGTAATGTCGATACTATTTGTTTGCTCTGTAAAGGTGAATCCACTTGACCAGAAGCTTAAAATAATGTTGAGATTTACGTACACCCCACTAGTAGCGACGCTATTCAGATACTTCCAATATTGATACTTGTATAGCTTGTCTTTCCATATTTGGGGTGAATAATTCAGTATCGCTTACATGAAATGAAAGGAACTTTCTAAGTTCGCTTTTTAATAAGTTTCCTTTCCTTCCCAAAGGCGAATTTAAGGCAGATATTTTAATTATTTCCGATTCCTATCGTAGACCATCAATAGTTTTCGAGACCGACGAATTTAACACTATGAAGATCACATAAAGCGGTAGGTCGCTGACTTCATGATCAAGAAATCAATTTATATTTACTCCATGATTCAAAACTGTGGACTTAGTTGCTTCACACGAAACTTGTTCTTTTATCTTAATGCCATCGTAATTCAGTCGTATGCTATAAAAGTAGCAAATCTCAATCATTATTGCTGTGGGAGATCATTTTCATGCGATCGTGATGTTCGTGTGGATCGATCTTTGACAGAACTTGATTACCTAGAAGGAAAATTTTCTAAGGAAGTGCAGTCAAAGAGCTTATTAGGTTTTCAAGGGCAAGTACTTATTATTATATTTTGAACTAATACGTTTTACTCCTTTTTAAGTATTCCTATTTACTCCCGGTTTTGCAGACTTACCGGTGGGGCCTTCGAATTTTCAAGAGCACTGAAACCTCATCCTCAGTTGATGCGGCTCCCATGGAGCTATTTTCTGTATTAAAGATCAGGCAGCAATAACAATGCCAGGTTACCCAGTACCAGAGGTAGACAAAGAGATATTTCAAGAACTCCTCTGTGAGTACTGTATCACAGTGGTAAGAGATGCCTGGAGAGCAGAATGTGGGCACTTCTACTGCAGGTCATGTGTGGAGTTTCTTTTCAGGTAGGCATCACTAGTAAATGTAAACCCCTCCACCCCTGGGATTAGGACATGTGTGGAATTTGCAGGGAATTTTCTGTCATTTGAGGAGCTAAAGGGCTGCGATTTTCCAAAACTTTGATGGCTTTTGCATGCCATCTAGGACTGGTGGAGAAATGGAGGTGAACTAAGACTGGAATTGAAAGATGGTTCCTTATTTCTGTAAATGTTAACTCAAGACCTAAACACTACAAACAATTTACCACTTGATATGTATTGTTTGAGGTTATTTGTGTTCCTTAGCAAAGATGATTGTAGTGATGCGTGGTATGGGTGTTATCAATTTCAACCCTCTAAATCTACAGCTAAAGGACTAAAATTAGAGGAATTTACACTAACATCTCTCTTGTCATGCAGCTTAGTAAAAGTTACATAACCCTTTTTAAGAACTTGTTTCTCCCTAGGATGCAACTTATTGTTACTCATGGAGGCATTAGTCCTTCAGTAAGATCTTATGGTGGCACAAGCCTTACTGTTATTACTTTCTAAATGTTCTAATTACTTAGCTGAAAAATAATTGTCCAAAAAAAAATGTGTGTTGATTTTATTTCGTAAGGCCTAATCATACTAGTCACCAGGTCATACCCTAAGCTGTAAATTATTGGCCGCTGATTAGGTTCTTCACTAAAAAATTCAGTACATAACCTTAATACTATGACTGGTGGCCATCCAAACCCCTATCCTATACTTAGTGGGCTTAGCCAGAATGTACAGCCTAAAAGATAACCTCCCCCGAAAACAAGTCATACCCTCAGCTACAGAAATATACTTAGTAGGCAGAAAGTTTCCCCCACATTTAGTGTGGACATGATATAAAACAGGTCAAACTTTGAAAAGGTGATTGTAATCTCTGTTGGCTCCATAGCTGAATCATTAAAATGTATAAAGCAAGTTAATTATTCAAACCTATTCTTAGCCATTACCTTCTTAATCCCTAGATTTCCTAAACATTCATCACCTAACCTGTAAAGAGCATAAGCTGGAAGCTTAACAATACCCATACTTATAATAATTTCTATGAGTGCCTTCATTTCAACCTGTGTTATGGCACAAAAACTTTCAAATTGATCACCTAACTTCTGGTGTGTATAATGATTACTTTCCTCAACCATTTTTTATCCCACATTAAAATCATCCCTAATGAAAGTTAAAAATATGTCTAGTTCATTGGGATTATTTAAGACTTAATTAATGCCTGTAGAGGCTACAAATTGGTGAACTTAGATATTGTCAAGCTAGTTAGTCCAGTGAGCTTCTTCTTCAGCATTGATATCTTTGTCTCCAGCCTCTAAATCATGTGGATCTAACTCCAACTCATTACCTAAATTTAAACCTTTCCTATCAAGCTCATTAAACCCATCACAGCTTCCTTAATCCCCTGGGTCTCCAAAAAGTGCTTCAACCCCTGGAAATCTTGTCAGCCATCATAAACTGTGTGCTTCAATATGAAAATTTCAGAAATCTTTAGTGGTACCCCTAACTAGTCATCAAAATCTGTGGAAAGAAGGCTAAATGATTGGTTTATCATCCTTAGAAGTCACTATGATAACAACAAAACACAAAGATCTACTAGGGGAGAGTGGGGTGAGATTGTAATAGGATCACCCTTTTTATGGACGATTATAGGCAGTTCAGGGAAAGTTGGGGTTGTTATGAGCAGATCAGGTGTCAATGGGTTAATGTGTGGAAGTTCCATGCAATAAAGTTAAAGTGTTTACATTAGCCTTTGTCTACCACCTTTTTTCAAGGGAAAAAGCTGGCCTTGGGGTGCAGGGCTTTCTACAAGATTAGCACTGAGCAACAGTCTAATACCCCTCTATGTCCTGGCCACAGGGGTGCAAGGTTTTACTCCAACTGGTGCATAATACTACTTACACATATATTTGGTCTAATTATGTCAACTCATACTGGATTAGTACTGATTGAGAATTAGAGTTGCACTTACAAACAGTTTGTTGGATTGTGTGACAGAGAGTCAATGCAATGCCTCATGTTTTTCTTGCTGAAGAACTGATTCATCTTTGAGAAGTTTCAATGTTTGTGACCAAAACACTGAACAGTCCATTTTCAGGCCTCATAATCTTTTTCAAAATGTATAATGTAAATTGGAGCATTATTGTTTAGGAAGTCTCTCTATCTTGTGTATGTTGTATTTCTCCCTGGTTGTCTGAGTTAAAAGCTCTGTGAAATGGCATGAACTTCTAAAACTGATTACCAGCAAGTGTTTTTATTCTCTCTTAATTACACAGTTTATTCATGGTGACCATTTTATGGTTTTTAGTCATCATAGTCAACTATGAGAAAGAGTCTTTAGAGCCTTGCAACAGTGGTTTATGATGACGATGATGGTTACTTCTCCTTAAACTTATTTTTGTGATTTTTTGTTCAAGGAACTTAAGGAAATGTAACATCTTTTGCTGAGATGGTTTGCTAAATTTATAACAAGTCCTTGAATTCTGTTGCCTCTTAAAACCTTACTGGCTAATTATCTGATACAACAAGTAGAACACAATCATCATTTTATTTTGGGATTTTGGGATCCACTTGCAGAATAGGCAAGAATTGATACCCACAATATTTCCTTGCAGCACAGTATTTTATTCTTAATGCTAATTAGCTATTTTTTTGACAACAACTAGGGGAAATCAAGGAGCAGTAGCTTACTGCAGAAAGTGCAGAACACCTCTCTTCCTTTATCAGGTAATCTTCATGTTTGGCACTGGTGGTATACAAGTATTAGCGTTGAGCCCAGTTATAAGATTATACATTGTAGAATTGCCTTGATAATTGTTATTTATGAGGTAAATTTACCACTAGCTTCTTAAAATTTCTAACCAAGCGTGATGGCTATACTGGGGAATATTGGCTCAAGGTTGTTTTTGTATGGACTAAGTGCAGCAAGGTCTATACACAATCAAGCAAGGGCCAATCCTTTTTAGTATTGCTTGAGCAAGCAAAGTTAGTGAGTGGTTTATTAAAGGGCAACCAGATCAAACTTGTTTAATTTGAATTTGCCAGCTTTAGCGAAAAAATACACAGCTTATGACTGTGTCTGAGAAAATGGTCAATATGGCAATATCTTAGCCAAGTGAGAACTAATCAAAATGCTCAAATTTACCTTGGGACTAACTTCCAAGACATTATTGAGAAAGACCACAGGGTGAAAATTTTAATAAATGTTGTTAGTGATGTACTGCACTGCTCAAGCATTCAAATGATGGTATTAGTTACAGGAGAATTGGCAGTATTATTCAGGCAGTAATCATGCTATTTGGTTTGCTCTATAAGCCCTTACTTACCTCATTGCTCCTTTCTTTTTTCTAAATTGCATGTGCAAGAAGTTGTATGTTGAAAAAATCAAACAAACTTTCAAAATGTTTTCAGTACTGCCTGAAACCACTTGTGTGAGTGGCATAGGCTTAACATGGTAATACTGAGGCGGTGAATGAACAAACCATGGCTCAATAAAGTTCCACTGTGTTCTTGCACAAACCATATGTATAATCTGTGATGCTTCCTGATTCCACTCCCTTTTTGTTAAGTTCTTGCCAGATGACATAATCAGCAGTAAAGTTGAGAGTACCATAATTCATTGTTTATTCTTGGAGGCAGGATGTAAATGGGAAGGAGAGTTGAAAGAATCTGAGGTAAGAAAGAACAAAATCTTACTTTAGGTTACCACTACACTGTATAAAGAATGTTCACATCATACAGTATGACATAATTTGTCTTGTCACACACATACAGAGAATCAATATGAGTATGCAAATTGCCTGATTTTTTTCCTTTTTTGCTAGAGGCATTAGTTCGGTCGTTGTTTATTAGTCAACCCTAGATCTTTGTAGGGTGTGGAATTATGGCATATAAATGTATATGTATTAATATATATGTACATGTATATCATTATGTAAATTTCAATTCAACCAGGAAACAGTGGATTGGATATCCAGGGTATATGTGTGTTGTATAAAAATGAGCATTGATCAGCCTGAATAAAAGTAACTTCCCTTTCCTTACAGCATCCAAAATTACTCTTTGCCTCACCCAAAGGCAATTTTTTCGTTTGTGCAGTGATATGTATTTAAAAACAATGGTTATTGGGTTGAAAGGGACAAGAAAATATTCCTCCAAAGCTGTTTCATTTTTGTAACATATCCTTTAAAACAGCTTATAGTTGTTAACTTTCACTTGAAAGGTTAAAACTTTGAAAAAGTTTTTAAAAAAGAGTCACAGAAAGTTGTGATATTTTACATGTTGCCAAAATTAGTGGTGAAAGTGAGATCACAGAGGGAAGTTTTTGTCATGGCTCTTCACTCCCATAACTGTTGGTTTTAATTTTTATGTTAATCAAGCGAAGAACATGTACTTCCCAAGCTTGAAACTCAGCAGTTTCTGACAGAGGGAGATCATCTCAGCTGTTTTTTAATAAGTTATTCAATACTGTTAAGATTAATTAATATAATATTATGATATTTCTAAAATATTCTAAAACAGTTTAGCTGACCAAAATTGCCTTACCCTGTGTACTAACGTGTGTGTTAACTTTGCTATTAGTTATCGTAATACCTTAATAATTTAACTGTATTCTATGTGTTACTGTATCATAATATAAACCTTTGTCAATTACAAGTCCCCCCCCCCTCCCCCCACTTGAATTTGTTAACCACCGTCCCCCACTCTAAAAAAAATATGGAACGCAGTCCCAGGAGGCTTCTTCTAACTCAGTCATAAAATTCCAACTTTTATTTTATTGCTGTTTTGCATCACACCTTTTAGTGTCATGTAGGAAGCTGCAGTTTGGCCAGCATTCAAAGAGGAGAGCAAAAGGAGTGTGAGGGCGATATCACGCTTTCTACTGGAACAGATGACGAAAGAGAATTCTTACTTACTGATAATGTTGTTGAGGTTGGTCAGTTTGGCATCTTTCTTCTTATCGATTTTGTTCCTCCAAATGTGATAGAAAATAGTGTTTGCGATCAAAAGAACAATGGCAGGCAATTGTAATATTCCTTAACGTTATTTTTTCGCAGAATCAAATTGGAACTGAAACGGATGAAGATCCAATTGACGAGGTATATTTCTTTATACCAGTGGTTCAAATTTGAACCTAGAGAACACTTTTCCCAATGAAATGGAGCAGGTCGTTTTGTTAAATAATATCCCGAAAATTGTTCGAATAAACATCCACAACACATGGATTTACGTAATGAAATTTATGTTGAAACAGGATTCGCACACCCAACGTCCCATGCCTGCCCACCGCCAAGAAGCACAGGATGGCGAAAACCCACAGGTCAGCAAGTTTTCGATAACCTTCATTCGTGTGGGCACGTAAGGGGAAATATAGAGGGTTAAGGCAGAAGTTTACTCTTCGGAAAATTAAAAAAACTATATCACTTCTCTGAAAAAGGAATGTGAATTTATCCATCGGAACTGCAGATCCGAGCAGTATACGGAATGCGTGTCAGATATGAACCCAGTAATTATCTAACTCGTTACACTCGCTCATTGTTTTCTGTGGCTCAGTGGTAGAGCATCGAAGCGCAAAACCCCAAGGTCTGGTTTCGATTCTTAGTGGGAACTCGCACTATTCCTCTTTGACGTGCTCGTGACAAGACGATGAAAGTCTTTCCTTTTAGCTCGGATTTTATTGAAAGTTTTTTCAAGCTTTCCTATGTATTGTTGAAATGTTTTCAAAGTGATTGAATTCACGTAACCACAAAAAGATCTTATTAACACCGACATGAATTTTTTAAACTGAGGCAAATCCTCAACAACCGCCATAATGCTTATTTACTCATAACCTCGAATCTAGAAATTGATATTAATGGTTTGGATAAAACTTTCAGAGAAAGTCTTCATTTTGTATTTTTTTTAATTCTATATTTTCTTGGAAATTATAAACGTTTAATCGTCAGGCTATAACAATTTGTAGTTTGTTACTTTGTACTATGACAGAACAGTTCTCCAACCCGAGAAACAGCTGCCTGTCCTGAGTTTGGGATAAATGCTGATTCTTCCGAGCTCGTTGTTAGGGATGGTGCTCGTAGATCAGAGACAAGACGATCCTGCCATGAAGAAGGCAGCGCCATTGTTAGAAAGGTGACTAAGCTTTGGCCAATTTTCGCGCGTTGTCGCACAAAGATGTTTTTAGACGTTTGGTTTATTAATTTTTTTTTACTTAAGCATTTCATAAATGCGATATGTAATATAGGTAATAGCATGGCCTGTGTTAGTATTTGACATCAATACCGGCTAATGATCTTTCATAATTGTCCATGTTACCTGTCGCCATGGTGTTTTTGCCAAATAACGCGTACAGGTAATACACGAGGGAACAAACACGGGCGTTTACATTCGTAACATCTTCATACCTCCAGGTAATGAAAAAGAGAGTGAAAGTTTTTTTCCTCAAACTAGTATACTGAACACAGAGAAAACAATGAGGGAAAGCTCTTTGAAAGACATTTCAAAATTTCAAAATTTCAGAATTATCCCCAGTGAGAAACCACAAATTAAGTGAGTGTCAAAAAATACAAGAGTGATGGCTTCTTTCAGTATTTTAATGTAGTTTTGCCTCTAAGCATCAACGCTAGTTCCGTAACTAATTGTCATTCGACAACCACAAAAGTGGTCGACTGTCATTGTCTGACAGGGAAGGTGAAATGTAAAGGTAACACTTGAACCTGATCCAAGTGCCCACAAGGCACTGGAACCTATTTCGGACTGTGTAGCATGGAACGACTAAGAGTACAGCTACTTCCCCTGGATGGGATGCTCGTCCATCGGAGATTACCCTCTGCATTTCGCCCGGAAACTTTGAAAATTCGTCGGTATCGATTCATTCCTTCTGGTGGAGAGAGGTACCGTGAGTAAGAGTGTCTCGTCCAAGAATGACTCGCGGTCAGGTTTCGATCCCAGACCTCTCGTCCGGAGTCCAGTGTACTGACCGTTAGGTCACTGTGTGACAATCTTAAGGTTTTTTTTCTGAAAGACGAAAGAAATGTACTGAAAGTTTGAAATCTTAATTTTCCATAGCTGCTCTTCATCTCAGACGGTAAGTGCTCACATAGCATTACGTCTTTTTCCCTAGCCTTTCTCGAGAAGAGTTCTGACCTTCACTCCAAGAACTGGAGTTGACGAATTCTCGCACCTTCAGAATGAAAATGTGGTATCATTTTATTCAAGTTGTCTGTTGGTGGTCGCAAGCATTAGCTTTGCGAATTTCGGCATAGAGCGCGAGACACTTTTCCCAACTCATTGGCTTTGTATTGTCGATTGTAGTCACGTCTTCTAAACATCTGGTAGTTGATTATCTTTTGATTACTGAATTTCGGCGAGATTTTGAAATTTTCGTTTCGGCCGAGAAGTGCACGATCCCGGCCACCGTATTCTGTAATGAATGATTTTCGAGTGAAATATGGGTTTATTGCAACTTTTTTTGCTTTGTTACTTATCCAATCTATTTGAAAGTGTTATTTTCCAATTTGCGACAGACTCATTTTGGTAAAGGGATGTATAATTTTTCTCATTACAGAACCATTCTCCAACCAGGGAAAGAGTTGACTGTCATAAGGGAGGGATGAATGTGTGTCGAGCTGACCGTCACGGGCACTTTGAAGAAAATCGTGCCCGTAGACTTAAGACAAAACGATCTTGCAATGAACAAGGGAGTACCAATGTTACGGAGGTGATGAAAAAGCTTCTAGTTGTTAGTTCACTGTGACTCTAATTGCATTTCTTTTAGCTTCCAAGCGTAACCACTTAGTAATCAACTGAAACAAAGTCATGAATGAGACAAAAAGTTAGAATTAGAAATTTCGGGTCTTAACTGGTAAGATTATAATTTCAGTCAGAGTGTTGTATTTATCAATCGAGGAAAGTTGTGTACGTATATAAGTATAGATTTGTTAATACTTTCCTGTACTGTGCTTCACATCTCTTCTTTCCAAGTGGCCTCTATTCCCAGATGATGATGATGAAAGAACCATTGAGATAACTAGGTTTTTTGGTTTTATTTCTTTTGCAGAAAGGGCATATCAACGCCAATCTTCCTCGTCAGGTCAACTTCTTGTTGTCTGGTAATATAGCGGGACAAAATAGGAACTCAGCCGAAAATTGCTTGGAGTTTAAAGAGGAGTTGAACCCCTCCCTAAACGATACCATGGCGAGAAACACCGCATCCTCGCGAAACTCGGTTCCAAATGCTTCTAATCATCATGAGCAAAGATTGATCAACCTTGAAAATCAAGTTGCTCACCTGACTCGCTGTTTTTTGAAACAAAACCAGGTTACAAACCACATCGCTTATGTTAATTCTCACCTGGTGTCAGAAAACGATCGGTTAAAAGATGCGGTCCGCGACGTCAACAACAGATTGCACCGTATTCAAGTCTCTCTTAATGGTCATCGAATGAAGCACGATGATCATCAAGCAAATTTTACCACCCTGCAAAATGAGCAAAGGAACCAAAGCGCGGAACTTGCGAGGCTCATCAGGGATACGGCGGATGCCCAGGAAAGGATCAGACGACTTGAGGGTCATGTGAACGCACAAGGAACGATGTTGGGAAATATATCAGATTCTGTTAGAGACCTGGCTACTTTAACCAGAAGGGTGGACATTGAAAATTTATGAAATAGATCAGAACTCAAGAAGTGTTTCTCAGGGACCATTCTATTTGTATCTCCACTGTTTAAAAGTGTACATAAAAATTTATTACTTGGCATGTTTTGAGGTTCTAAAGAGTAACGTCTCTCTCGAAAATTTTATTCAAACGTGCTATGCCATGACAACTCGGCAATCCGTCTACGCAGCTAAAACTTCGACGCACGGTTCACGAACTGCTGATTCTAATTTGATTTAGGAATGCTGTCTTTTTAGCCTCGAATATTTCAAAGAGATTGCCAATAAATGGGAAAAGAAAAGTAAACTTTTCACATCACAGTTTATCGGCCATATTACTCGACAAAAATAAAAAAGCAGCGTCTGAAGTCGAACATTTTAGCCCATTTAAAGACAATTTTCGCGAGGATCGGTTACTTTTTTAAATCTAAAAACATGGTCATTGTCATCGTTTCATGTTTACACTTTAATGGAGGAGATGAAAATCACATGGTTTCCGCAAATGTAATTTCTGATGTTTGAGTGACATGGGAACGAGTTAGTCAGAAATTAATATTCTGATGGCAAGTTGAAGAGGTTCGCGTGGCATCATGAAAGTTTCGGATTATTTAAGCGTTTCGCGGGAAAATTCATTCTAGGTCGATCAGTCTTATGTTTGACCACTTTCTTTCTTTCTTTTTTTTCGTATTGACGTAATTTTCGTTTTCAAATCTCTGTAAAATATCATTATATTCATTGATTTTTCTTTGTGATTAGCAGTGTAATCAGATTAGTTTGCCCTTTCCTCGGGGTATTGTGCTGCTGCATTAGATGAGGAATACGTTTCCACATATTTTTTGGCCACTTCCAAAGAGTGGTTTTTTTAGTGGTTTTTCGTATCTGGCGTAGCACAGGTTCTTTTGTAGAACCCTTAGTTTTCAGTACACACATGTTAAGATCATATAAGGATGCGTATACTGCAAGACTGGCTGACTCATCCTTAATAAACTTTTCACATTGAATAACTCGGCTGAATGTAGAATCATTTATCTCTAGTACTAAATATGAACTTGTGTATATTGGAGGTCATTTCTTTTAGTCCACGACACAGTAGGTCGGAGATTTGTCTCGCAGAAAGTCAAGAAATGTAGCTAGTTTGTAAAAGGCTTTAAAATCGTGCTTTTCAAGACGTGTAATTTTCCGGATATTCATATATTCCGCACATACCTCAATTTTTTATTTGATAGTTATACTTTTTTTTATGATTAATCGAAGTAGTTTTATGATTCTGGTAAAAAAAGTAGTTTAGAACTATTGTTATTTAACTAAAGTACATAGGACAACCGGACGTATGACGCTATCAAAAGATTTAAATAAGTTAAATTTATAACACTAAGCTTGTGCTTGGGAAATAGTACAAACATAGTGAGACTGTTGTCGAGTAGACACCGGTCTCGCTGTGCTCACTATACCCACTATCAGGCTCGTAACCAAGAAAATAGTCTTTCTTTGATCTCCAATAGTTTCTGTAAACGAAACTGCACTTGAAGTGTAGTTTGAGGGTGTAATTGGTACTCAAATATGTAGAAATAAAGCTGTTAGAAACGTAGGTTAATGATACATTGGTTAGTTATTCTTCGTACTTTGAAAGTCCTAGAAGCCAAGTCTTGGGACTTGAAAGCTTACTTATGTGTAACCTAGTTTTTAAAAGGCTTTGAGATCGTGCTTGTTAAGACGTGTAATTTTCCGGATATTCATATATTCCGCACATACCTCAATTTTTTATTTAATAGTTATACTTTTTTTATGATTAATCGAAGTAGTTTTATGATTCTGGTAAAAAAGTAGTTTAGAACTATTGTTATTTAACTAAAGCGCATAGGACAACCGGATGTATGGCGCTATCAAAATATTTGAAAAGTTAAATTTATAACACTGAGCTTGTGCTTGGGAAATAGTACAAGCATAGTGAGACCGGTGTCGAGTAGACACCGGTCTCACTATGCTCACTATACCCACTATCAGGCTCGTAACCAAGGAAATAGTCTTTCTTTGATCTCCAATAGTTTCTGTAAACGAAACTGCACTTTAAGTGTAGTTTGAGGGGTGTTAGCTGAAGACAAGTTTTATGTTGAGATGTTTATGCTAGAATGTTTGTTGTATGGACTATCCACAAAATCCCCATCGGGGGTGGTACTTTGTGATTAGTAATTGTTACTCAAATATGTAGAAATAAAGCTGTTAGAAACGTAGGTTAATGATACATTGGTTAGTTATTCTTCGTACTTTGAAAGTCCTAGAAGCCAAGTCTTTGGACTTGAAAGCTTACTTATGTGAGGTTGTATAACACTTAAATGGTTTCTTTTTTCGAAAATCTTGTGAAAGATTGGAGAAGAACGTCAGGGGTCTTTTTCTCTAAGTTTCTTGTCTAGATATCAGTGAAGCATGATGAGTTTGCTTGGAAGAGGTGAAGAAGTCAGGAGCTTCTTACCTTCTTACCCTTTTTGAAAGGTAACGAGTTTAACTAATTTTTTAATTTTTGTCGTAGAGTTTTTGTAATTTAAATTTAGTATTAATAGGTGTACATGTTGTAAAGTTTACTTCTGTAAACTTTACTTTTACTAGGCTTGAGGAAAAAAAAAACTATCGAACCGAAGAATAAAAGAATATAAAATTATGTACTAAGAAAACCAGTCCATAATTCAATTGGATCCCCGCATGAGGAAGTAGGAAGTATGAACCTTTATATGTATATGTACCTTTATAATAAGCCTTTCAGTTTCGGAGGATGTCGTGAAATCTACTCTAAGTTCGCTGATACGGATAATTTTACCCTTAAATAATCAATCAAATAAGTTGCATTCAATTCCTGCTATAAGACATACCCTAAGCTTATCCGAAGGAAAGTGCGCCGCAATTTTATCGCTAAGGTACGTGAACTGATTGATGTAAGGCTATTCATATTTTTGATAGCTTTTAACTTCGTATTTGATAGCTTATTCCGCATACTAGCGGATCCAAAAGCTCTCTAGTCTTAACATTTTGTGTTAAAAGCTATCTTTCTTTTGAATTTCTTAACTGAACGTTTGAGTATATTAAGAGACGCCAACATAAACCAATAGATAATGTCTATACCATGATTATTAAAAAAGAAGAGGCCGAACGAAACTGAAGGATTTATTACGTTGCTTTTAGTCAGATGTAATAGCTCATCGCTTTTAGGTGATATAGTTTAGACGTTTGCAATTTGAGATAGAAAATATCATTTCGTCCACAATAATAGTCAGTTACTTTTCTCCCGTTTTTTACTAAGTTTCTTAGGACAATAAGATTTAAAAGCGAAGCGCGAGTGCTTTTGGAAATAAAATTTAAAAAATTATATTATAGACAAGACTATATTTGTCACGCTCCTACTTACGGCTTACGCACCACTCGAAGAAACTCTAAAGTGAATTTTCATAATGTTCATGTGTACGACTTAATATCCGTTCCGATAACAGCGAAACATTCCAATTTTTTTCAAAGCTAATTCATTCGATTCCGCAATAACCGCGTTGTGAATTCCATAACTCTGCTGTGACCTTCATGAACCTCTTCTAAGCTACAATCTATTTTTGAATGCTCGGTAAACGATGTGCCTCTACTTCCTTGTTATTTTGTCTTCACTTGACACTCGAGGCTCCTGGTGGGGTTCATCATCTAATCTATTTTTGAATGCTCGGTAAACGATGTGCCTCTACTTCCTTGTTATTTTGTCTTCACTTGACACTCGAGGCTCCTGGTGGGGTTCATCATCTAAATTTAATGTCTTTTTATCCGGAGCTGGGGCTTTCTTAGTGGTTAAATAATCTTTCTAACAGCGACTTTAACTTGAGAAATTATTCTTGAACGTTATTGCCATTTTAGAGTATTCATAGGTCAAGTTACTCCTCTCATTCCTCTGACTCAACTGTCCTTTATTCAATAATCAAGATAGTATATGAAAGGTATATACAAGTATATCTATAATACAATACTCCTAATTAGTTATTTTACTTTTACCTAGGAAAGTAGATTTATGACACGATTGAGTTATAGAGAGTTTCCTTACAGGGATAACGCTATTTAACGCGCTACACTACATCCATAAATTTCCGGTTGATAGCAAATATGCTGAGTCAGCATATAACATTTATGTTGTAAGACTCCCAAATTTGTGCATTTAAAGCGGAGGCATTTTATGAATTCGACTAATCGTTTTTGGAGGAAATTAAGCTACAGATGTAAACTACATATAAATCCCATTTGTTCTTATATGCTGGAACATTTTGAAGGTGTCTTTAACTGATTTCGGAGGTCTGGCAAGTCAGTTACGGTTGTCGTTGGGCAATTCTCAAATATAAACCTGATCAGATTGGCCATTTTTCACCATTGTTCGTTTCTGTTGCGACAGAGAATGCACACGTACAAGATTCAACTTCTCTAGTGCCTGTTTCCTAGAAGCTTGTCGACCTCGTTCTTTTTAGCTTTTGATTCCGCGGCAAATTTGTTAACATCACTCGCTTTTAAATGGAGTGAATCTATGGCCACTTATTCTATGTTCTTTTACAATCATTTTTCAAGTTTTTGCTTGCTCTAGTTTTCTTAGCTTCAATTTCAATTTAAATAAAACGTGTTTGCAGTGCGATACTTTTTGCGAGAAATCTTGATCCATCGTCATTGACGCCAGGAAGTTTCGTTGCCGCATTGGTTTTGCGGTTTCAGGAATAATGACAAACTAAAGAGTGTCAGGAAATCTTGACATTTGAAATATCTATCCCAAATATCTACCCCAAATAGATCGTTTTTAGGATGTTAATAGTTGTTGACATCTTTAGAGGAGTCTGGTTTAAGTTAGGAAACTAAACTTTGAGACTCAGTGGTTCCAAATAAAGAAGTAAAAGATTTAGGTCAAACTCTGAAAATTGTCCCAGTTAGTGATTCTTTTTTTAACTAAATGATGTTCACCGAGCAGGACCTTAATTTTATACTATTTACTGATAGCGATGCGTTTT